AAGATCCAGATCCGGTATTGAAACTGAAGAAATTGCAAATCTAGAAAAATTTGTAGAAATTAGGAACCCAATTATCTGTCTAGAATTTAATTGACATGCTATCTCTAACAACTCAACCCATACCTTTAGAGAAGTGAGGCCAGACAACCATTATTCCCTTCCAAAGATAGAATGATCAAGTTATATTATTCCTAATATGAGAATCACTCCTAGGCTTAAATTTATACTTTTGAGTGAGCACTTGGGCTTAAAGTTCAAAAGGAGAATTAACTAGCCTCCAACAGAGTTTCATCATGTAGGCTTTGTTAAGAGTGTTCAAATCTCTAAATCTCAAACCCTCTTTCATTTTTAGGAGTACAGATTTTATCCCACCTTATAAGATGACACTTTCTACCATTCAGGATCCCCAAATAAATTTTTTACAAATATTATTAATCTCATGACAAACAGAACTAGGAATGCAGAGGGCATGTATGTTATAAGATGGAATGTTCATAATACACGATTGAGTAAGAGTCACCCTACCCACTATAGATAACGACTTCATTTTTCAAAAAGATAATTTTTTCCTAACTTTATCATTCAAGGAAGAAAACTTGGTTCCTAGTAGGTTTATTTGAGATAATAGAAATGCCCAGGTAAGTCTCTATCTGCTTACAGGGCTTAATGCCTAAGCAATTAGAAACAACTTTACTAATTGAGGAATCAATATTTTTAGAAAAGATAAAAGATTTTCTATTATTTATTTTTAGGCCAGATGTAGTAACAAAATAAGATAAAATTTCCTTAATAAGGTTCGCTTAGTGATAATTAACTTTAGATACCAGGATAATGTCATCTGCAAAGAAAAGGTGGGACACACTAGGACCATGGTTTGTAAAGGAGAAAGGACACAAATCGTTATTAATAACTTTATCCTTAATTAAATGGGCTAGTTTTTACATACACGATACAAAAATATAAGGAGAAAGAAGATCTCCTTGGCGAATTCCTTTAGAGGGAGAGAATTTCTCAGTCATGTCATTATTCCAATTAATGGTCATGATAGAAGAGGAGATACAGTGAAAGATCAAATTAATAAGGTCAAAGGACAAACCAACTTCCTGAAGAGTTTGGATAATGAAATTCTACCGCAATTTGTCATAAGTTTTCTCAAGATCAAGCTTAATAATTATGTAATTATTTATACTTTTAAGGGTAGTGAAGGAATGGTTTAATTCTTGTAATATGAGGGCATTATCAATACCCTGTCTTCCAGGAATAAAGCTAGTCTGGTTGGCTGATACAATATGGGGAAGAATGACTCTCAACCTATTAGCTACAATTTTAGTAATAACTTTATAGCTGACATTACACATGGATATAGGTATGAAGTTACTAATATATTCAAGGTTATCCAACTTAAGAATGAGAGTAATGTGAGTTTTATTGACTTCAGTCATTTTTGCAGGGTTTTGAAACATATCCAGGACAAAATTTAAAATAAAAGGAGCAAGGAAATCTCACTTAGTTTTATAAAACATAACATGGATATCATCTGGTTCAGGAGACTTAAAGTTATCAATAAAAAAAAGAAAGGCCTTAACCTCATTTATAGAGATTGGGGATGATAAACTAATTATGTCACACTTCCTCAGAGGGGGAAAAGGAAGTAGTAGTGGATAGAGTAGAATTAGACAGAGAAAGATCAGAATAAAACTTTTTAAAATAGTCAAGAATCATGAATTTTAGTTTTGAGGGATTATACTCCCAATTCCCATTTTCATCTTTTAAAGCTTCAACTAAATTTTTATTTCTTCTAAAACTAGTAGCTTTATGAAAAAAGTTTGTGCTTTTATCCCCTAAGCTAAGTCATTTAGATCTGTAATGGTGGAACTAGTAAGATTGCTCAAGATTCAGAATCTGTTGGTACTCTTTTCAAAGGACTTTTGTGAAATTACATAAGAAAGGGTTATTCATAAAACCTAACTTGCTAGAGATGCTATTTATTCTACTCAAAATACTTTTCTTTCTATAAAAAAATGTTATTAAAGGTTATTTTATTCCAGTATGAGATATTATCCTTAAATATTTTAATATTATCATTCTAAGAATTATGAGGAAATTAAGAATTTTTAACTTAGTTGAAAAAAGCTAGGTGAAAAATTTAGAAAATTAAAAATTTAAAAGGCTTTACGAGAGTAGAAAGTTGCTTATTTGATCCAAGAATTATTATTTTAAACTTATAAATAGGATATTATTTAATCAAATGAAATGAAATAAAAAAATTATTTTATTATGTTATTGTCAACTTTTGGTTGTTTAATTAAATACAAAAAGCAACCGCAAAACTAGTTAGCACAAGTAAAAAAAAAAGGTCGGCAGTTCCCACGCGTGATGAAAAAGTAAAAAGGAGTAACGGAGGGCAATCATAGAAAACTGGAAAAAAAATTATTATTATGTAAAATTTTGAAGTAAAGAATATAATTTAAATAATTTAAAATTGATGAGAATTGAACGTTAATAATTAAAATAAAAGATTAAAATTGCAAATAAACTGAAGTAGAGAAACAAAAAATATAATGAAACATTAGTTGTATCTTCAACCCTCGAATGATGCTTTTATTGTGCAATCAATAAGGAAATTATTGTCCTCTGTACAGTCTCGAACACTATCCTTCTCCTGGTGCCTTATTATCTTTTCTGGGGTCATTTCGTGGTGCTTTTCAAAATGATCGAAACTACGATTCTCTAGGGAGCACAAGGTTTTGTCTCTTTGTAAGCGTCAGTATCTAGGCTTGATTTTCAATAATAAAAGATAGGGAAGATAATGATCTAAAGCATCAATTCGTTTCTCACTTTCTGTCCTCCAAATAGTATTTCTCAATTCTATATCGTATTCTGATACTGTTGTACTGTATGAACTTCTCTAAAGCTGAAGTATTTTTTTGAGGTCTGGTCTCTGCATTGGTTTGTCCATGTTTGCTTCCCTTTTTTTCGTGTCAGGCACATATAATTATAATAAGAATGATATTCATATATACTTGGGTGGAATCTTCTTTTATTGCATTACATCATCTATCATATTTTTAATTTAATTTTTATCTTGCATTAACTGTATACCCCTATTGAGTTTATAAGTAGTTAAATACCCATTTTTCATATAATACTAAACTTAAGCTATGTCCTCGTGTGATGTTAGAAGAAAGATGTTAATGGAAGTCAATTTGCTAAATTTTGTTGGAACCTGTGATGGTATACAGGTAGAACAGGTATAATTGGCTCTTTAATGTAAATTAAATTATGTACTTGGTCGTATATTTGTTGTTTCCTCTCCAAATGAAACCTCGAATATGCTTGTTACAAAATTATGCATGTCCTGAGAAATACGAGTTAAGGCACTAACCACTATAATTTGGATAATCAAATTTCCATATATGGATGTGATTCCCGGCTTGGGCCTCGTTAATACGATTAAGGGCCTAAAAGAACCCGTTATCCAGTGCGTTTATATAATGCAGAAAGTGGTTTCAAATATATATACACAACAGAGGATCGACGATGTATAGTTCTTCAACAAATAAACGTGTGTTGGAAATCCGTTGAGAAAAAGCCTATCATACATTAAAAAATTGGGTCTGAATATTCGAGGATGAGGGGGAAAATTTCCCTTAAATAATCTCATTTAAATTTTATATTTTTCATTAACCATCGTGAATTTCGATTGGTATTGGAAAATAAAAATTGGCACTGATTGAAAAATACAATGAGATTCCGCAAAACGGAAATTTTCCAATTGCAGATATAATTTTAAAAGATAATTAATTTAGAGCTAATTATATTTAGTTAGTAATTAGACAATTTTATCTAAACGTAAGGGGTTAATTGAGTGGAGCAAGGCAGGTTTTGTATCATTGCAGGTTCCAACTCTTAATACTCTTTAATGTTAATGCTTTAAAATGAGACACATTCCCCTGAAATTTTCAACCCAAAATCAGTTAATTTTATCTTGTATATAATACTACTGTATTGTAAGCTCAATGAGAACAGTCTTATACATTCAATTCAATTTGTCTGTGCTGATTTTTTCAATGTTTTTTCAATTTCTCTTATCTCTTTGCATTTTATTTTCAATTTGTCATTGCTCTTGGATCAGACGTACTCCGCTTGCCCTTCACAGATATTCCAGAAGTTGTTGCAATATTATTGAACGAATTATGGTGCCTTGGCTTAGTTTTTCGAGTTGTTATTGATGGAAACTTATTAAGGTACAAATGAAAATATTTAGTGTGCATTTAGTGAACACTCGTAATTTGAGTGATCATAGTTTTTTTTTTTAAGCTTATTTCAGTTGATAACAAGTTTAAAATAAAGTAATTTGTGTTTTAATAATTTTATATTAAAAATCAGTTTGATATAAAATATTAATAAATTATTATCCAATCTCGTATAGTAATGTCGTGGAGTAGTTTGCGAAAGGTTCATCAACATTAATAAGGATTAGTGAATGTCCTAATACAAATTATATTTAAGATTGAACACTCAGATTAATGATTCAAGACTGGTTGACTACATTCCAAAAGGTACTAATGCCGGGTTTTTCAATTAATTAATGGATTATTTCCCCACATATTAACGATTTGGACATATGAGGATTGATTGATTTATGAGAAATTCTTGCTTGATCATATTGTTATTATTATTTTCTCTTGATCATATTGTTTTACATGTGTAGTACAGAATGACACGCAGTATTGGGACATTATAATTGCAAGATGTCAAGATTTTATTTTCTTGGTTCAGATTTTTCAAGATTTTTAATCCTCGAATAAATACTTTACTTTAATAGCCTGTAACAAAAAAAGAAATGGTTTGAGACATTAACATAAAAGAAATATTAAAATTTTATATTGTACGGGATATTATGTTCTGTACAATTATTTTTATTATTAAAATTCACGAAAAGATAACTGGTTTTTATGATAAGGTTTATCTAAATAAAATCTCAGTCACAAAATTGATATTATTTCCTAAAACTTAAATATATAATTTCTTTGAGACATGCTTCTCATCCAATTTCTGAATTTCCATGTTCATTCGATGGACTCAGCGACCGTCATTAAATCCACCTTCCCAATTTTCACGACCAACCCATTTTTGCTCTCAACGAGATCTCTGAGACCCTTCAAGGTTTCCATTAAACCTCCACCTCCAGATTTCGATTACAGGAGAGAGATCTCGGAGGAGTCGAGAGCCGCCATAGCTGAATCTCACCCTCAGTTGCTTGACTTAGCCGACAATGGAAGCTTGGTTTTGGTCCAGAAGAAGAGGTTTGGCCCTGTCCCTTCTTGGAGAACCGATTTTGTTGAACCTGAATTCATTTGGTTGGTAGGAACTACCCATGTTTCTAAGGATTCCGCTGTTGAGGTACAACGCGTGGTGCGGGCTCTCAAACCAGATAATGTCGTTGTAGAACTCTGCAGAAGCAGGCAAGCACACCCACTCGTATATATATATTTCATTTATATTTATTACTTCATCGTATATTATTTTTGTTTCAGTCATTTAATCAAACAATATGCAAATTAGTCACCGGAACGCCAGTGAATTTAATCTTAAACATCATTAAAATCATTTTAATATTTAAAATTATCAACTGTATATGTTTATTTGTATAATTTTATAAATTAAAATGATATTTATTTAATTTTGATAATCAAATTAATCGATTTTTGAAATTTCATAGAAAATGAGTGTTTTTTTTTGTGACTCTATTCAATGAATGAAGGGAAGAACTTAAGCAGGCACTGTTTATGTCGGAGCGAAGTTCACCATATTTAGAAGGCATTACCATTCCGCAACATGCAGTTGCCACTTTTCACATAACTTTCCTCTTCGAAGTCTCTACTGAAGAATATGAAACACGCGAATTGAGGAAATGAAGTACGCCCTGTGACTACTGACTATAGTGACATCATTCTTGTCACTGTTGTTATTAATGACTCGGCTTTATTTGGATGATAAAAAAGAGATCTTCAACGCATTAGAAAATCAAATAAAAGGCTACCAGCATAGTTGTCAAAATTTGTATTGAGAAGTTTCATTTCATTATTTTGCAAAATGAGGATCAACACTATATTAACGAGTTATTGTGGTCTGTGGATACCTATAGTTGTATACTAGTGACAACCTTGTAATTTTATTAATTTTTTATTGACGTGAATGTGTGAAATTTTGCTGAGAATATAAAATAACTAACGACTTATTTTTCCTCCTTTCTTTTCTTCCTTTGGCTATAGCTCTTAATTTTATTTTCCCACTGAAGGCATAATTAAGAAGCTGTATAAAAGTTAATATCGTTTATTATCAATCCACATCTTAACTTCAATTGTTGCAGATTTCATTTCCAGAGCTGGGATCATGTATGCTTCTGCCAATGATGAGTTTGGCAAACAGTTGCGGTCTAATATGTTTTCCTTGAGCGGGACTGGGTTTTTCGGAGCTGTTGGTCGAAGCATAAACCTAGGTAGAGGCTCAAAGTTGCTTGACATGATATCTACGGGTTAAATACTCTTTTATTTTAACAAACAAATAACTAATTCATTAAAACTAACAAGAAGTAATCGTACGTTGTAAATTTATAGTGTATTTTTAAAATATTTATCAATAATTTATACATTAGATAAATAAAAAAATATATACGAGTGTTTTGTAAACTCAATATCATAATAAATAAAAATATAAAAAAATTATTTATTAGTACATTTAAAAGTGTCCTTATTTCTATAGTTGTTGTTTATTATAAAAAGGGGTAGGAGAGAATATTAACCAATATTCTTAAGTCATTCATTAAAATTTAAAAATTATCAAAAGTATAATAACATACTTTTTTTTTCCTGATTTTTAATATTTTCTTATGAAAAATTTATTTATTATTTTTCAATCAATATTCTTAAGACTTGTTAGAAAAATTTAATCTTTTAAAGTCACTCATTTTGTTGTTTATCTAAATGTCAGGTGGTCAAACTGCTTTAGCATTACGATTACTTCTGGCTGCATTTTCATCAAAGATCTCTTCAGATATTAACCGGCCTTTTGGTGATGAGGTAGTAATTTCATAGTATGAAATATTTGTATTAAGAAGAAGTCGTTTTTGACCAAAGCATCATCTATAATGCAGTTCCGTGCTACTCGAAAAGCATCAGAGGAAGTTGGTGCACAAATAGTTTTGGGAGATCGACCAGTTGAAATAACAGTATGTACATACATGTTACATCATGCAAATGCAAGAAAGTGCATTTTCTAACGGTGCATTTACATCTGCATGCTATTATATGTACTTTTTCTTGTATACTTTGGACCGGAGAGTTTTTTGGTAAAAAGTCTAACATCGAGTAGCATACCACGATGCAACTTTAAAACAATGATGTATGATCTCTTTATAGACTCTTATTGCAACATTCTCTTTAAGTATAAACTTATCTATATATCCAATTTCTTCTACAGCAGAAATTTCTTTTATCAACGAGTATCTATGGTCTAACTTAAGTAACTCTTGCCATCCACTAAACACACTTTTTGAGTTCCACATCCTTCGCACTTGAGTGCCATCAGCTCTCTCCTCATCTATTGTCACCGTCTTTGTTTACAAAGTGAAACTCTCTGTCATCCTATTCTCACCAAATTGGTTCTATTGTTTAAATAAAAAATATTATGCAATCATTATCCTCGTAGGATTTAATGACCATGTTTTAGTACTTTAGTCTCAAAATTCTCCATTCAAATCATTCTTTCCTTGTTTTTACTGTATATTCATATTCTTTGTAGATTTGAGATGACGGATTTTATGGTTAGTTTTACAGAAAAATCATTCTTTCCTTGTTTTTAAACTGTTTTGCAGCTTCAAAGAGCATGGAAGGCTATGAAATGGACTGAGAAACTAAGTTTAGTGATATCAGTTATTCGTGGCATTGCATCTTCATCTAACATTTCTACAAATAAACTCAAGGTTGCTTCTCTACTCAAAATTTTACAATTTTAAAATTATACTATTTTCTCCTTACTAAATGTCGTACTTTTATATGCTTGATTATAAAGAAATGGAAAAGGAAGGGCTTTGACATTTGCACTGTTTTTATATCCTTTCAAAATTGTATGATGTGCATAACAAAGTTATTGTGAAAATGTTTATTTGATCTTATTAGTCATCTACATTTGCTTTCTATTTTGGTTTTGTAGTTTGTAGCAACGGATTTCCGTAGATATGGTGAACTCTTTAGTTATTCTGTATTTCTTCTATCAAATGAAAGTTGAGTCGTCACTGATCACTGAGTTTAGTCAGATGGGTAAACTTGATGTGATGGTTTTTTGCGCAAGACACTATGATGCAGTGGAGAATACATACATACATATAGTTCAAGCATGTATTTTGATAATGCAAAGGAGGGAGAGAGGGGGAGAGAGAGAGAGAGAGAGAGAGAGAAGATGAAGTTCATATATATGCCAAAGTTTGTCATAGTAGTTATTTGAAAAGCTAAAGAGTCAAACTTTGTTAGTTGCAGGAAGCAGGTTCGGATGATGGTACATTTCAACTTTATGAGCAATTGAGTTTTTCATATCCGTCACTATTGTTACCTCTCATACATGAACGAGACACTGTAAGTTTTTCCATTTTGATTTCACTTGCTTTTTTACCCCTTTGGTTCCTCCAAATAGGGGAACATAAATGCCTTCCAATCTCAGTTTCAAAATACTCATTTTCCTTTCTACAGAAGTTTTGGCAAACCAACTAAAAATGTAAGAAAATAAAAGGTTAAGGAGAGAAAGAATGAGAAGGCAGGACAAGAAGTTCCTGCATAAACAGATATCTTCTATTCAAATTGTTAATGAATCAAGTTGTTTGATATAATAAAAAATCTCGCACAAGTGGCTTAGCAACAAACTAAAAAGTATATAAGAAAAGCTATTATAAGTCTAAATTACTTGAGACATTTTAGACAAACATGTTACTTGAGGTTAAAGTTCACCTATCTCTTCATTGAAAAATTGTAATACACCTAAATATCCTTATGCATGTGATCGGTCCTGTAAGTAGTTCCAGTGAAATATGGTGTATTTTGCAGTATCTTGCATGGTCGTTAAAGCGGAGCAAAGCTGTGAATAACAGCAAAAGGGTGGTGGGTGTCATTGGAAAAGGCCACATGAATGGTGTAATATATGCACTGGTATCTGATACAGGGAATTTGAGGTTTCGAGACCTTGTTGGGAAAAATTCATATGATGGTGGTTCCAATGGCTGGATTAATGGCCTAGTTAAAGGTTTTGTTCGGGACACAATCGTTGGCATCTTCTTATGGGCCTTGTATGATTTTATAATTGGTGGAACGTAAAGCAAGCCCCTTCGTCTCCGAAGAGTGAGAGCAAAGGATTTTGGACCATTATAAAAATAGCCGAAGATATAAACTAAGATGTTAATTGTACATCATACCTTTCTCAAAGTAGGCAGGTCATTGATTTTTTTGAAGGAAAAGGAATGAAAAAGAAGAAGGAAGAAGGGCATTATGTTAGAATGTTGTTTTGGCTGTGAAAATAATATTTCCATTGCACTTTACATGCAATACTAAAAAAGTTATCTATTTGTACAATTGAAAAAGATCCAGGCCAGGTACCACACTTCATGGAATTCGAGGAATAGTATTTTATTATTTGAGATGGCAACCATGGCTATTTAATTCAAAATGTGGTTTTAATTTTTTTTGAAAGATTGTAATGCAATAATTAATTTTTTCAGCAAACTAGCTAAAATATTAACCATATTTTTAATAAATTTTAATTCTAAAAATAATTATTATATACACTATCCAAAAATCTTGTGTCGAGAAAAAGTAGAGGACTAGATGAACGTCTAGTTAATTAAGTACAATCTTGTAAATTATAACTGAGAAAATTTGAAATAAATATTTATAAATTATTTAAAAAAGAAACATTACTCTTGAATCTTTATACATGTTCAAACTTTATTGAGCTTTTGATATATATATATATATATATATATATATATATATATAAAAGAAAATAATTTACAAAATTTTAAAATATGAATCTTTTTAAATGTGTGTGCAAGGATGCGCACTAATAAATAAATAAAATAAAAAAATTTATTAAAAAATATAGGATATGATGTTATCAATATGATGGATGATATTTTGTGATTTTTAATAACAAATTATTATAGATAAATTTTTATTGTATATATTTAAAGGCGTGTTAAAAAAAAATGATATATAATAAAATGATTCTGTTAATTTAAACATGTGATTGATAGGTTTTTTTTAATAGGTATTGTTACAAGCATTACTTTAAGATAACGCTAACTTGGGTGGCTAAGTAAAGCCTTTTTCAAAGTAGCAAGTTCGGGATTATGAGAGAATGGTTGGGAAAAGAAATAGTTTTTTTTTTTTATAAATAAAATAAATATTTATTTGTTCAAGAGAGGTTAAATCAAGCCTATACAAATTTTATTCATTATAGGTAAAATCGATTTAGGTCACAATTCACTTCCACTAAACCAGCCAATTTAATGTTGTAGTTCTTTCATTTTCTTCCAAACTTCTGTGCCCCATAACCATCCACTATATTCAAAGCGTAGGATTGGAATAAAAATTTAATAAAAAAAATTAAGAAAAGAAAAAAAAATTATATAATTTTTAAATAAAAAATAGTAAATTTTTTTTACAAGTCTTTAAAATATTTTTCAAATTTATTAACTTATATATATACATATATATTAAATTTTGCAACATTATATACGATAAAAAGTTATATATAATAATTTTTTTATTAAAATTATAACATTTAATAATATTAATATATTAAATTATATTAAATTTTATAATTTTAATAAAAAATTATTATATATAATTCTTTATTATGTATAATGTTACATAGGTTAAATTATATATATATATATATTATTTTTTTCCTATAAGAAGGGGTTAAAAAATCTAAAAACAAACAAACTAAGTTATAGGCTTAACAAACTACAAGCTCTTAGCATCCATACTTAAGAAAGAGATAAGGGAGATGGATGAGTATCAAAATGAGATATAGGAGATAAGAGAACAAGTCCTATCTTAGCTAAGCAATCAACATAATAATTAGTCTCTCTACACACATGAACAAATATAACAAATTTAATAGACTTTAAAGTCTTTCTAATATTACAAATTAAATGAAACAAAGGATAAAAGAACTGTTGGACATTCAAAATAAGGTCAGTAGTTTATTTGGAATCACTTTCTATCCAAAAACTTCAAGTTACTATAAAAATCTGAAGTGAATCTACCATAGCTATCACAAAGCAACAGCCCTAGTGGCTTTAGATATAGTTCCATCAACATTTAATTTTAGCTGGTCCAAAGGAGGAGGAATCTATCTCACTTTACCATGATCAAAGACTAACTAGATAAAGGTTTGACTTTGTCATTGTAACAATAAAAGAGAAAATTAGTATTATAAAGAATTTTTTGAGCTAAATTATTAGGATGACAAAGAAGTTTTAAAATATAAATTCATTTCTATCCTTCTAGAGTTCTAGACAGTGACAACAAACAACAAACTCTAGTTCTAAAAATTCATAATAGAAATATAAGACAAATTTGACAACATCCAATCATACAAACTCTTACTAAAAATTTGAGCCCATTGATTAGATAGAATGAAATAATGCCAAATTTTTTGAGCATAGAAGCAATATTTCAAGACATGCATAATAGTTTTAAGGCCTTCACCACACCTAGGGCAGGTTGGGAAATCAATCATACCACATCTAAATCTCTTATCATTTATGAGTAATTTTTCATGGGCAAGTTTCCAAAGCAGAAAAGCAATTTTAGGAGAACCTTTTCAGACCCACACAATTTTAAACAAAACATAACTATTATCATATTGATGGACAGATTTATAAATTAATTAATAAGTTGATTTATTCTCATTCTATGTGTCATTCTAATAACTGTATTAGATCTACTAGATCTATTTGGGAGGTTAATCTTAGTTATAAGAGGATGAATTTGGTTAAGGAGAATAGAAGAGATTCTCTTTCAATTTCACTCTCTTTTTTTAGCAAATAAACCAACAGGGGAATCTAAGTCCAAATCAGGAATATATATATATATGCTTAACATTATTTAAGTAATTAACAACATAACCGATCCAAAGGAAATTATTGAAGTTTGAGGCTTAATGTCTAGGATTAAATATTCGTGGTTAATTGGAAGGATAAGTACTTCCAAAAGTCACCACGTTTTGTGGCTTTTCTTTTGCTATAACATAAACACTGTGTCTCACAATATTTAGCGGCTCAACGAGGACGAATTCCAATTCTAAAATCAAATTCAGTTGATTTTTAGATAAAAAAAATTAGTGAAGTATCTGTTGATATTTCCCTGAATAAAAAAATGAATAATGAATCATTATTCATAACATTAAGCACAAAATCATATTTCAATTATAACGAATGAGTGGCCAACTAAGCTTAGATTAGGAAAAGAAAATGACTAGAGAAATAAGTTATAAAAATAAGGCATTTCTTCCATCGTAGAAAGCGTGACAATTAAACAGGTGAAAATTTGGAAAATCACGGTCTACTCCTAATTAGATTATTACACATAATCTGAAAATGGAACCAAACCCTCGTTTAATGGTCTATGGGTGCCATTCTCCCCAAACTTTTCTTTTGGGGAGAATTATCATGAATTTGAAAAATAGCCGTTACAAACATGCTCACGGTCTCTCAATACAAATACTTTGATCGATACTTCAAATTCAATCTCTAGATTTTATCATCTTTGTCAAAAAGCAAGGGAATTGAGGAAAAGTAAATCTTTGCAGGTGCCAAATTAATGTTCAGTTTGGATTTGTTTTCATTTTTGGAGGATTATAAATGGTGTCGAGTCGGTGTGCAGCTTGCAAGATTCAGGGAAGAAAGTGTCCTTCAGATTGCATTTTCTCTCCTTATTTCCCTCTTAATGATCCTCAAAGATATACTAGTGTCCATAGAATATATGGTGGTAGCAACGTTGGAAAAATGCTTCAATGCTTCAGGTAATACATTAATGATGTGTTTGATTTTACATCAAAATATATACTTTACACATACACTATTTCCCATACTTCACAGTGTACTGTTCAGTTCGTAGACACGTAATAGGACCTTGAGACACATGTCCAGACATGCACTAATAGAAAAATGGTCATGGTCGAACTAAGGAAGCCAACTATTAATTTATCTCATTAGATATTTGGTCTAATAGAGTTCAAGCGTTTTAGATTTTCAAAAATTTATTTCCTTTAATCGAAAAATGAATTTACTGTCACGTGATTATGTTTTAAACAACATATAGGATACATGCAACCACGTTTATAAATATAGATATAAACAAACAAACATTAAATGTTCAGTAAATTCTGTAACCTAAGTGAATATATTCGCTAATGTCTATCATCGCTTAGAAAGGGATAGGAACTGCTTGTGTATTCTGTCTCTTTCTTTGTTCCTTTCAGTTAAAAATGACAAATCACTTAGAAATTAGCATTATTTCTCCAACATGTTAGTTAATTAAATTATTATTTTTTATGTTATATCATTTTTGAATTTGAAAGATGAAAAATTATGGGCAGATGATTTTAGCCAATATTGTGAAAAATCTCAAATATAAGAGGAGTGGTTAAATATTAAGTTGAAAAGTGAAAAGTAATTCGTAAAGGTTGAGCGGCTCATGTATGTATTTTAATACCCAACTATAAAATAAATCAACTTTTTTTAGGACGTAGATCCTATGTAATCTTGTTTTAAGGTCCATGCATGAGAAAATTTAGGCATCATTTCCTACATTACATGGTGGTGTCATATTTTAAACGAAAACGAAAACATTATTCATGTGCAAAGATTTGTATCCTAAGAATACTGTGTGAAATTTCTATTTTGCAGCAAATTTCACCCTTTGTCAGAACACAGGCAGCAGACAGTTTTATATGATGAAGCAGAATGCCGTATTCAAGATCCTATTTATGGTTGTTACGGAAATATCTCTGAACGTGTTCAACAAATCAATAGTACAGAAAGTGAGTTAGCCAAAATCCAATCTCATATTAGCATTCTCAAGCTCCAAAACCCACAACTTGTGAATGAATCAAACTTCGATGTCTTGTTGCACAGAGCAGAATTGGACAGGTTCAGTTTGGCAGCCATGCAAGCCAAACTACTTGGTTTAATTATTTGAGACTTCTAATAGATGCAAGGTTGTCTCTGGATTTTTAATTTTTGGTTCATATAATTCCTCTGTATTCTTTATGCCACGATTAAATGAAATAAAAAGAATTCAACTACCTTGAAGATTTGTTTTCCTTGAGAAAACTTTGAAGAATAATTAGAAGCAGTGGCGGATCCAAGACCCTAAAGGCAGGGAATACAAAAATATAAAGGGTGCAAAAACATAAAATTAGGAGTACAAAATATAAAATATATATATTATTAATAATAATTTATTAAAATGAAAAAGATTTATGAAAGTTGAGGGGGTCATTTGCCTCCCCTCAGCTGTACGTGGATCCGCCACTGATTAGAAGGGATCATCAAGTGAATTATATATTTTTCATGTATTCTACGTGTATTTTTTTATTACAAAAAATTATAAATAAAAATTAAAGTATATTATACATTTTAAATTTTTTTGATTGTTTTTTAAAAAAAAAAAATAAATTTTATTATTGGTATCAAATATTATATATGACTAAATTCAAAATAGAGAATTGTAAGGCTATAAATTATTCAAAATTTAATTTCAATTTATCTAAAAATTATATCTTCAATTTAATACAGTATCAAGATTTTAAAATTAACATCAAACTGACTTTAGAAACAAAATAAATTGATATTTAAAATATTTTAAAATTAACCTAAAAAAATAAATATCAATATAGAAGAGTTACATGGTGTATGTAAAGATAAAAAAATAAAAATAAAAATAAAAGCGTTTTTATTTATATTTTAAAAAGACTCCAATTTAATGTAAAGAATTTTTTTTGTATATTAATCAGTTCAAAAAAATGTAAAGAATATTTTTTAATTTGAAGTTTATGTAGTTATTTAAGTCCAAAAGGAAATTAATATACAAAGAAAATTCTAAAAATAATTAAAGCTGAGATAGGATAATTCAAAATATTAACATTAAATACAATTTTAAGATTAAAAAATCTTAACATAAAAGGAAAATTATTAAAACAATTAATCAATTAAAAATTAAAAAAATTGCCAAGTAACCAAAAAGAAAAATAACATTTTAATAATGAGAATTTAGATTTATAAGGTGAGGATTAATTAATAAACAATATATGAGTTGTTGAAAAGTTTGTATATTTTAATAAAACTATCGGAGAATTTTTTTTTCCCACATATTTTTACATTGAATTCTACAAATTATTATTACATTTGATTAAATTTATAATTTTTTACATTTTTAAATAAGTTCATTTTAAAAATATTAAAAATAGATAAAAACAAATACAAAATTTAAAGGAACTTGAAAACTTAACTAAGTCTTATTGTTATTATTGTTATAAATTTGAATAATTTCTTTTTAGTGTGATAAGATTTTCACAATGTTTTGGGAGGAAACAAGATTCTTCAAGACTTTAGGAAAATAAGAAAGCTTGCATTAAAAAAAAAAATCTTAACCTATTCAATTTTGGAATTTACATTACAGGTAGTTAGTAGATGCAGATGGTTAAGAGTTTTGAACCCTGTAAGCATTTGGAAATTTAGAGAGGGTCTTGACATTTGAGAAATTAACAAGTAAATATGGGCTTAAGTTATGAGAGTTTATTTGAGAAGTAAATACCAAACACGTTTGTTTTTAATTTTTAAAATAGTTTTTTTTAATGATGAAGGTATTTTTGTTTTTAAAATAATGCTCAGCTTGAGTTTTTTTTTTTTTTTTGACATAGATGGTATTTAATCATAAAAAATCCAAATTTTTTATTTTTCTGTTATATATCTTGTGTATACAATTTTGTCAATAAATTAATGTATTTATCTTTTAACCAATAAAGTAATGCCTTTTCTTTTAAAAAATAATAAAGAAATACAATTAATAGTGTTAATATTCCTTTTTTTTAGCGGAAAAGGCAAATGAAGTAAGAGGATAAGATTTAAACAATTTATATTAACCAAACAAAAATAGATTATAGGAATATACTGAAATACGTTTTTTAGGGGATTTTCTTAGGAGAAATATATTTCTATCGTTTTATATATATATATATATATATAAAGCACAAGGGGACAATATCCAAAAAAAAAAAAGCACAAGGGGAAACATAATTTTAAAATAAGTTTATTTAAACAAAGAAAATATTTTTGAGTTCGGATTTTAAGATTGACCCCAAAATAAGGGACTACTTTGAAAAATTGAAAATTAGGGGGTATCTGGGAAAAAGAAAAAATAGGATTGCATCATCATTCATGTATATATATTGCTTTTATGTATTTTCAGATCCGCATCCTTGTCTTGGTCAACTCGACCCCGAAAATATCTGTGACTCTGTTCTGCACTGCCTAGGGTTCTAACACAACACTTCCATTCTCATGAAAGGTGATTTATTATTACCTAATTCATTCAATTCCCATCCACAAAACTTATGTTTCTTCTCTGTTTTTTATTCAAAATTGTTCCTTTCGCTTCTCTCCAACTTGTAGGAAAAATCAAGATCTGAGATCTGGATCCCAGAAATTCACGGTTTTGAACCATTGTGACCTTCTGTTCTGTGAGATTTTCGCCAAACAATCGGTTTTGAAGCTCTATCTGTGCTCTATTCCAGATCTGACAATCTCTGCCACCTTCGATTCTACAAAGTAAGACCCTTTTTTTTTTGCATGCCCTTTTTTTATCCATTAATTATGTTCATCCCCTTGGTTTCTGTGTTTTTCGGGGGTTCGGATATAATAATACCGTTTGTTTTAATTTTCGATTCAGTCAATAAGTACGTGCTAGATTTTTTTTTCTAATTTTAGATTTAGATGTGGTTTGGGTGCCGGTGTTTGTGTTACTATGGAAACTGTGACTACGAAATGAAGTGATATAACTTCTATCCTGTGTGTTGATATTTTGTTACTGTTTAATTTTCTTTTGATTTTCTCATAAATGATATGTCATAGCAGCATTAGTTTATAACATGTGCAGAAGCTTCGAGGGGTCTGTGTATGACTGGGTTCTCGAGTTATGACTCAAATGAATTTTCTGTGTTTGACAATTATGCGGTTATGCTTATCCATGATTGCACAGCTTGGCATTAAGTGTTGAATGTGTGACTTAACTTCTGTTCAGGGAAAATGAGGCCTATTTTCTGCGGAAATTTCGAATACGATGCCCGGCAGTCAGAGCTGGAGCGGCTTTTTAGGCGCTACGGGAAGGTTGATAGGGTGGATATGAAGTCTGGTAAGTTTTTTTATTTTAATTATCCTTTGTATATTTTAAGGTGGATGACTCAATACTCAATGCTTCTGTTTGATTTGATTTGATTTGATTTTTTTCTTTTTCTTTTTTTTTTTTTGCGGTGGCAAAATATCATGGACCAGATACTTGAGGTCTAAAGTGCACTTTTAGGTGTTTACTAGTAAATAGTTTATGAATGGAACCTTGAGCTTCCAAAAGGTTGAATTTTGCGAAAAAAAGATAAAATATTCTCAAAATTAAACAGATTCTATCAGTTTTTTTTTTTAACAATCAAGTTTATTGTGTGTAATAGCTTTTTCTTTTACACGAGTTTTAGACCAGATTGTGGCTTCATTTGGTTCAATCCACTTGCTAAAGGCAAACTGAGATTCTTGCTACTTGGGAAATGTGGACTGAATTAATAACCATATTAATGATTTAAGTTATTTAATAAAAGTTATATACTAGTATATTTGCTCGAGAGAAATTCAGGTTGAGTTAGAGTTACAGGGTCTCAGATGGGAACTGTCCTGTTAGCAAGATATCTCTGTTTAAAGTAAAATTTGTTTGATTTATAATTAAAGCATTCATCTTGCGAACTGGAAAAGTACCTCTGTGGTTTGTCATCCAGAACTTAGGATGGGAATAAGAAATAAACATTCACAAGTTGCACATTTGCAATTATACCTTTAAAACCCTCCAGCAGCACGGGAACATCAGAGAATTTATCCGATCGTTCGAGGCAATAGCCTGTGGTTCTGCAGCTACACAGTATCTTCCAAGATTGGTGATTCAGTTTCAGGAGTGGACCTTGGTGTACTGCTTGTTGAGCATTTGTGGGGGGATCAAGATATCTTTTAAGTAAAAATCATCTTTTTTGAAGCTTCGACCCCCATTCTCAACGTTTTCTTTGACGCAGGATTATCTTGGCATATCCATTTACTTCCGAGCTAATGGATGGGCTTTTCAGAAACCCGTTTCCTGCCTGTGATGCACATCTTCTTCTTTTAATGAAGAACCATTCAATTTGATCTGCCATGGCACACCTGTTCCACGTATTCATCAGTCACATTTTCCTTTCACTTTTTGTGCCTTTTGCCCAGTCTTCACTTTTGGACATGTTTCGAGGTTGAAATATTGCCAACCTCACAGCAGAGGCAGCAGAATAGATGGAGAAGGCACTCACTATCCATTGAACCACCATGAGACCTACACTTTTGGGTTCTTGTTCTTGACACCAATTTGTTTATTAATCAAGGTCTGTTACTAATTCTATTGGTCAAATTAGTTTATAGAAATAAGGAGGTTTACCAAAGTTTTAATTTCTGAGTAGTAAGTATTGAGATTTTTTGTGCATGGCAGAAGGGTAAGTTGTTGCTTCAGAAGTCAAGTGTTTGTTGATTGGACAAATTGACCGAATCATCTCTTTTAGGTTAATAATAAATCTTAATTTAATAAAGAAATAAGGAAATTTTGTGTGGTCTGTAGGATTTGCTTTTATCTATATGGAAGATGAGAGAGATGCTGAGGCTGCGATTCGTGCTCTTGATCGGGTAGAATTTGGTCGCAAGGGACGCAGACTTCGCGTCGAATGGACAAAGGTATGGCATCTTTAGGCATTTTTTATGAGAATGTTGTTTTGGCCCATTCTGTTTTCATAATGATTGAACATATGTTGCAGCATGAACGTGGCATTAGAAGGCCTGCTGGTTCAAGAAGATCTTCAGCGAATGGGAGGCCATCAAAGACCCTGTTTGTAATTAATTTCGATACATACCATACCAGAACAAGGGACTTGGAGAGGCACTTTGAACCATATGGTAAGATAGTCAGTGTGAGGATCAGAAGGAATTTTGCTTTTGTGCAGTATGAATCAGAGGATGATGCTAGCAGAGCACTGGAAGCTACAAATATGAGGTAATTCCATGTATTTGGATATTTGTTTCAGACAGGTACACTTGTCTTTGTTTTGGTCAAGATTCTTCTTTCAGATCTGTCATTGGCCTCAAGTCATTGCTTGACCCTAATAGTTAAGATTGGGGTTGGGGTTATTGGCTTTGTCTGTCTACATACTTGTGTTGACTTAATTGAGTTCTAGTCAGTTTTACCTGGTATAATTTTTATAATTGGCTTACCAATATTATGATAACATAAATTCTTTTCAAATGTCGATGTGCAGCAAGTTATTGGATCGAGTTATTTCAGTTGAATTTGCTGTTAAAGATGATGATGATAGGAGAAATGGATATAGCCCAGAGAGAGGCCGTGATCATCAACGTGATAGAAGCCGTGATGGAAGGCGGTCACCCAGTCCCTATCGTAGAGAAAGGGGTAGTCCTGATTATGGCCGTGGGGCCAGCCCATATCAAAGAGAGAGGAGCAGCCCTGACTATGGCCGTGGCCGTAGCCATAGCAGAAGCCCTCTTCGTAGAGAGCGAGCTAGTCCTGCTTATGGGCGTAGAAGCCCTAGTCCATATAGAAGAGAGAGGGACGGTTCTAACCCTGTTCGTGACTCCAGCCGCAGTCCTTACCACAAAGAGCATGAGAGAACTGACCATGGCATTTCTCCTTCCCGTAGTCCCAAAGGAAGAGAGAGGTCAAGCCCACAAAATGACCGTGGCTCTAGCCGTAGTCCTTATGATACTGTGAAGGCTAGCCCTGAAAATGGGCATGGCTCAGGACATAGTCCTGATGCAAAAGGAAATCCCAGCCCTTACAATGGTTATGGAGGGAGCCCAAATACTATGCCTGATCCCAGGGATAGTCCGAACTATGGTGGTCCTGAAAGTCCTATGCATGAAAGATACCGCAGGTTTGCAAATATTTATTTATTGCTTATTTTTCCTTAAGCCTTTCTTATGTCTACTTCTGATATCTTCGTTCCTTTAATTGTGCTCATTTCTCTGATAATGCAGCCAATCACCCCCTGCAGAAGAATGATTTCAGTCTTTGATGAAAAATGCCGGAAAGGCCAATGGATTGTAGTGCTGGGTCATGATGGAACTTAATTTCAGCTAATTACTTTAGTGTAGTAGCGATAAGGCTCTGAAACTTGTGGTGTTGTGACCACTTATTAGTAGTGTTTTATTCATTTACGTAGTGTCATGCTTCGTTGTCAGCTTAATATTTTAGTCTTTGTTTTCAGTCCAAAAGTGGTACTCTATCTTTGATCAATATCGGATAATTTTTTAGTAATAGATGTTGGCATGTTGTTAAATCCTTGTGTGCCCTTGAAGAACTGATGGTAGCAGTAGTGAATTAGTGAAATGTTCCATGGCATTTCCATATGATTCTGGATTTGGGTCCGCCTCATGATGTTAACAGTACAACTTCAATGTTATAAACAGAATAACAGTGAATGTTGCAATATCCAAAGTTAAGTTCAGCAAAGGAGGTCAACATCTTGCAAATATACTTAGTTGAAGTTGCTGAATTTTAAAGCAGGGCTGGGCAACACGCCACATACTCATTTATCACCTTAACAAGCATTTACGTATGGTTGGGATACAACAGGATTTAGGTTGATCATTCCTTACAACTTAACTTATTACTCATGTATGTGGCTACTAGAATCGATCGAAATTAATGTTTAAGTGATAAAACTTGCCCTTGATAGCGTTGAAGGTTCCTATGGGCTTATGGTACGAGTTGTTAGAAACCTATAAATACAATAGCTAGATTAAATCAACATGAGGACTTGCGACTCTTTTTGTGAAGTTCGGACTTTGGAGATAGATACTTAACAAGTTCTGAAGCTCAATCCTTAAAATATTTCTTACATCTTCTCTCTTTCATGTGTTCCCCTCATCTATCGTGTAATTGGCTTTATCTCTTTAGGTTAGAGAATGAAACATAATTTGAATTTCTTATAATTTGGATTCTCAAGTATCTTAATTCATTTTTATCCTTTAATTAATTTGGTCTTGCCTTTCTTCATGATTGCTTGCTTGAGCACTCATGAATTAATGATAGATTCATTAATAGGAAATTGGAATTTAAAATAAATCACCATAGTTGTTATGTGATTGTTTAATTTAAAGTTGAGTAAAATTAATTTTGATGAAATTGATTTTAAAACGTTGAATGTGATTGAAATATGTACAAAAATTAATGAAAAGTGTGAGAATTGATCTTATAAATAAGAATTGAAAATTGTTTGATTTTATAAATTATAATATATAATGCTAGTTCCATTTAAAAAATTAATTGAGTTAGGAAGAAAATGATAACTATCAAATAATTAAAATAAATTATACCAATAGAGTTTGGTCTGAGTGACAAATAGCAAACTTTACATGTTATGCTCTTTTATTTTTATATGTTTTTTTTGTTATTCTTTCAATTCTAATTGTAAGCACATTATTTTATCTGAAAACTCAACCTAAATAGTCATTAAAGCAAATTGGTAAATAAAATAAAATCTTCATGAAACGATACATATTCACACTTTACTACTTTATAGACTATTTGTACGTTAAGAATTTTTCCTTACTATTTCTCATTGTAAAATTTAATAATTTAATGTGTTATATTGTCAGATAAAATCAAATCCACTTACCTGTAATCATGTTTCTGAAAACTCTACTTAAAGGAGAATTGTTTAATTATTTTGCACTATGTTATCATATATCTTTTATTCTCACCTTTACCAACCAATTAAAAATGAGCTTTGTATGTCAATGTGCTTTGTATGGTTGAAACAAGTGAAAAATTGAGACAACAGTAGATTAAAAATAATTAATTAAATACCCATTTTAAATTTTAAACAAATGAAAAAATTAACTCTAGAATTTCCAATAAGATATTGGAGTCCATGTTTTAAAATCAAACTACATAAATGATTAGAATAGTTTCGAATCCGTCTATAACATTCTGTTACTAATCTTCTTACTTAATAGATGAAAATTGTTTTAAATATTAACTATACAGATTCATTTAAATTTTGTATATAAAATAATACGAAAAAAAAGTTAAAAAAAGGTAAGAGGAAACAACATTATTCATACGTTAAACAAGACATATCAGAGAAAATTTATTTTTGCCACAGCATCTTCCCTCCCAGATCACCATAAACTCTATTAGAAGTGATCATCACTATCTTCTCCCACTCCCACCCAAATAGCTCAACCAAGTCATATACCACAACTTGACCCATACCATTTCACAAGCTCGTGCCTCTTTCTAGTAAACCCAAACTTCTTAATCCTGTGTTTTATATCCTACTTCCAATAGATACTAACCATATTCATTTACACGTTTAAATAATACACTGGTGAGAAACTTCTTTTATGAGGCAAAAAGGGAAGAGAAATAAGTTTAGCATTTTAACTTTTTTTTAAAAAATATTATTAGTAACAAATTTGTTTCAAAGAATGTATTTTGCTTAAACATTTTGGTGCATATAGTTTAAGAAAATGTTAAAAAATGTTCTTAAAGCACTAATTAAGAAATTAAATTAAATAATTTATAGTTTAAAAATATATTTGATAAATATTTTTAAATTTCGTAAAATACAGTTAATTTTTATTTTTTTAACTAGTGCTAATAAAACTTTATTATTTATAAAATTATGTTAAAATTTGAGTTGATTCGTTTAATACTTTTTTTATTTAATATTCAATTACAAAATTATCCATTTCAATATAAATAAATAAAGAAAAGTTTAAAAAGCTGGCCGATTCAACGTAACAAGATATGCATATCTATCAATTTCAAAGGTGTCACGGAAAAGGAAACAATGGGGAGGTTGGTCCCACAGTGGGATAAGACAGAGCCGTAAGATAAGAATGAATATGGAATCGACATGACACGTGTCGCCATCGTGTTGCACCGTCCCTGTCTCCTAACCACCAGTATACACCTAAATTACCACCAATTTCTCCTCCAAATCTTTTTCGGGTCAGCTTAAGTTAACTCATAACAAAAATACCAAAAGAAGTAAATTATAAATATGATTTATAACATAATAGAAAAATTAAAAAGGCGTAAAACAAATATAAAAATCAAATGTTGAAAAATAAAATTGATGGGATTGTATTAGAACAAAACATATAATTATTATTTAATAAATGCTATAAATATATTTTTTTTTTACTTTTTTAAAAGAAAGATGCCATATTTCTTACATTTTTTTATTATTATCCCACTCAGAAAATTATAAAAAATTATAAACAAATGCAAATGATCTGAAAACCAATGATGATTTTCCATCGTCAAATAATAAATTTCTTGGAAGAGTTGTAATAATTCTTGACGATATATATGCTCCAACCGTTCATACGCTTTTCTTTTTGAAGCATTATTGACAACCAAAATTTTTATTGTTTATTTTTTTGCTTATGACAACAAAAACTTTTCAACGATACAAATTAAAAAGAAAATAATTTTTTAGAGAACACGTGGAACTTAAGCTGGTAATTACTACGTCAATAACTGATTATTTTTCTCTTATGTGAACTTAAATTGCAACCATAGCAATAAAGTTACTTTTTTTTCTTTCATGTTCAAATCTGTCACACAAAGTGGATTTGAATCTTAACTTTAATCCAGACACGTTACATATGATCCCATCAAGACTAAAAAAATTCTGATATAGGAATCGTGAGTAGTTAAGAACACGTGAAAAGGTCATATCTAATTATAAGAATTCCCCGAGTTTTATATCTAAAATTTATTATATATTAAATTATTCAAAATTTAATATTCATTTATATTTTAAAAATATAATATTTATAAAATTGATCTACAAAATATGAACTTTTAATTCAACTCTAAAAAATGATATGCTGTGAAGGGTTTTGTGGGCTCCAAATTTCCGTAATGTGCTGTTAGTGACGAACCCCGTCAGCTTTGGCCCACGAAGCAAGCCTCCCGGTCCATAGATTTCGGCTTTAGGCACACTAATTTGGCAACACATTCACACGCAGTTTGTGATAAGTGGAAATATAAATATTGTAGTAAATACATATGTATATAAAATCATTAGATAATTGCTGTATTAACAAACCCATTAACTTTAATATATCAAGAGCTTCATTGGTTAGCTATTGGACCACATGGAATCAATTTTGAACCCATCATCAACTAAATGGTACATGACTTGGGAGACACTTTCAACAGTAACACTGCTAGTTATTTTTCGATTTTTACTGGCAATTTTCTATACAACTCTATGTTTTCAACTAATAACAAATTACTCTAAATTAATATGATTTTTGATTATAAAAATAATAATTTTAATTACACGATAACTTATTAATTGTCAGTATAAATAACTTTCATATACCCTTAACGTGTTTTAGTTAGTTTCTTATATATTATTTCTTTTTTAATAATGAAGTTGGAAAATAATATTTTTATTTAATTTATAAAATGATAGATAAATTAGTTAAAGGTCTTATTAATTAGTATAGCAAGAATGTTGATTAAGGAATAATTTTTTTATTATTTTTCATGAAAAAATATGTTAAAAATTATGTGAAAAAAATAAATAATACTTTTATTTTTAATTAATATCTTAGAAGCATTTATTGGGATTTTTTATTAATTAAAATGAAAAGTTTTCTTAAGTAACAGATTCACAAAAATAAAGACGGAAAGTTCTTTTAGTTCTTTGCTTTTAAGGTGTAAAGATACTGGCTACGTTCATGCATGTCTGAATATGTTAATGATTCTTTCGTCTCTTCTCAATCTTTCCTGTATCGGCGCCCCAAATGTTTGTCATTTTAGATTGTGTCCGAAAGAATTTTTGCAGAATTTATTTATACTTGTAAAAATCAAAATGATTTTTTAAAAATTTAATTAAATTTATGATACAAATTCTCATATAATAAAAAATTATTAAATAAACATTTAATATTGTTTACTCAAACACTCTTAATTTGATGAAAGCCCGTTTATTTTCTCAAATATACATGCAAGAAGTTACACTCACAGAAATATTTTCCGTGGTGAGTATTATTATTATTATTTTATTTAAATTAATATTTTCTTATTCTACTATCACTTTGAAATACCACTTAAATATGTAAATTACGGTAAGAATTTTATACATTTATTGTCATTGTTGATGTTATTATTCATTAAATATCTTGATATTCTTTAATGGATAAGTTATCAACAGATATATATTTATGGTTAAAATCGCTCAAATTTTAATGTTTAGTGGTAGAGATTTTTATTATAAATATATATATTTTTATCTTGTGTGTAATTCAAAATCCAATTGAAAATTTAAGAAGGAAAAATCATTTTCCTCTATAGAAAATTCTAAGCAATATAAATTATTTTACAACAAGTTAAATATTAAACAATTAAAATTTTTCTGTCTTTACTCTAATTAATTAATAAAAGGTAAAATATTCCACAAGACTGAATAATTTCATTGAAGTCTATCTCTAAACTTCTGAAAAACATTTAAATGAATCGTTATATTATAATTAAATTTTCAATCAAGTTCCAACTAGTCATATAATTTATGATTAAATCCTTAAAATATACAATGTATAATAGTAACACAGGCTATATATAGGTTACTGCAAGCATCTATTAATGCATGTTATATGATCATTATATAGTTGATGGGGATATAAATAAATAATAAAAAAAATGGATAGGAGTTCAGATAAAAACTTAACTGCTCTTAAATTATTTTCACTTAAAAAAATTATCCACCATAAAACAACACACCCGTGATATTGAATAAAAATATTGGCTAATAAACAATTTGGATTTTGGAATCATCTAAGTCGCAAGATCTTTTAGAACCCAAACGGGAATGGCTTTTTCTCTTAAGACAAAAGACAGAAAAATGGCTTTAATAAAAGATGACTAAGCCAACAAAGTAATTCTACGATATTTCCTCCTGAAGGTTCTTAGTTAGCAAACGATAAAAGTTAAAAAAGCAAAAGATGTAAAACATCAGCAATTAGACTGAAATTTTAAGAACTGAAATCTTTGATAACATCCCTTGCTCTTCGACCTATGAATTTGTGACATAAAAGATCCAAACCATTTTTTTTTTTTTTTGTTATCACTTTGGATCTTTCATTTTCAAAGATTAGAGTGTGAACAACTTTGTAATAATTAATGACTAAATCTTTCGTTAAGCTTATCATCTTCCTAGGAAACCCGTGGATGTCTTTTCAATTTTATCCTTTTTCAACGTTTAACACTAGGGATAAGATTTATGGTTCAACATGTGGTTCAAACAAAGATCCTTAATTGTTTTTTGAACTCCGGTCTAATTAACTGCTTATAAAAGCTTATCCTTTGGTGTTGTGAATCAAATAGCTTTTTAAGTGCGATGACGGCTTAGGTTGTTCTAGTTAAGATTATCATACAAAAAGCAAGATTCTTTACATACTAAGTTCTACTTTCTTTTTAATTTCTTGAAAACTTATGATCTCAAAGTAGATTAAGCACAATGAGAAATCTACTCTTGAAATCCAATATTATGTTAATCAGACGTTCCTTGTGAAAATGGATTAGATGTGTAGCTCACTCCTTTTAATCATCCAAACAATAATTCATCCAATAAATTTGGAATCACCTTGTGTTTTGTGGTTCAATCATTCATTACTACTTTGTATAAAAAGAAAGCTTGGGTCCACTCTTATCCTGATCTTGCAAATCTCGTTGAAGCAGTTCCCATGATGAAAAGCAGAGGAAGCCTACTCTATATATATAACGTGCACTTTTCTGCATCTCTTTGTGTGTATTTATTTGCACTCGTTTGCTTTAAAATTAAGTATAATTAATTTTTTTAATAATTAATTTAAATCGATAAATATAATTGGAATGTGTTTGTATATTGATTTAAATACTATAATTTTATTAAAATATATATTTTATATTAAAAAGTATAAAAATTAAAATTTTAATTAGAAAACAAACGAGTCCTTTTAGAGTTATATCTCTTACAAGACCAGTTTATTAATTTGCCTAACAGAACTTTCATAAAATTATAGAGCATGTGGTCATCAAAGATAAACTCTTAAAAATGACCTTCATTTCTTGTCAATTGCCAGACACCTGTGTTTGTTTGGACGTGGAGAGGACAATGTAATAAAATAAGGAGTAGTAAATAAAAAGAAAAGAAAAACTAACAGACTGATCAGTTTTAAAATGTTTTTTTGTATTTATATAATTATAAAAATAACACATTATTATTTTATTTTTTTAATACTTATATACAAACTACTGATAAATAAAGAGAAAATAATTAATTTTTATTGGGTTAAAAAAGTAAAATATATATAATTATATTAAATAATTTGTATATCTTTTTGACATAAAGTCAGGGTAATAAATATATGAAAATAAATTGTTATATCAACAATATTTGCTTTCTCTTTCATTTCTTCTCCACCTTTTTTTAGTCCATTAATAATGTCCTCTATTTTTGCCTTAATTAAATGATGAAAAATATCTCTTTCTTTGTATTTGTATTGACTTATTTTCATCATAATCAAATAAAGTATCATAGAACCTAATTATAGTTGAATATCAATGCCAACAATGAAATCGCTGGATGAGAATGAATGCCAATAAGATTCCAGTTATGGATTGAAGTTTCAGTTTCAGTTGGAGTTGCAGTTTATATAATGTTTGGCATGATCATCTCATCTCATGAGAGAAAACAGCATATGGGATGGAATAAATTTAAAATTTTACTTAAAATATATTAATAGTGTAATTTTATTATATTACCATTTAATCGTAACTTATATATTTTACTAATAATTGATTTAAAAAATATATTTATAATGTATTTTAATTAATTAATAGTTATACTAATAATGCACTAAATATTTTATCTAACAAAAATTAAATTATTAATGCAAATATTATATGCATCTATATTAATATTATAATATATCATGATGTGTAGTATGTTTTTAGAATCACATTCTAGAGATAAAAATTGTGAATTAAACCGCATGTTACAAACCATAAGTTTTATGTTAACGCAACGCTGAGGATGAATTCGAACACCTGCTTTGTAAATGATAAGAACAAAGAATTTTTACTTTAACAAGCAAAAAATATTACTTTAATAATTATAACTTTTTATTTCCATTGTATTGATTATGTATGTACGTGTATTTTCTAAGACGAATTTAATGCAAGAGGGGTAGAAAAACGGAATGCTTCTTACCTATATGCATAACATGTGATCCATGCTTTGGGAGGGACATGATGCACGCTTCTCTTTCTCTTTCATCCCTACAAGTATCATCCGTTTTAAATGACAGGTCAATTAGAGAAGATTGAAAACTAAATATTGAAAGAATATATAAAATTTTGATAATAAAACGAGTATTAATATCTCTTATTCATAAATTATCTTCAACTAATAATTAAAGATAGAGATATTTATAAATGGGCACAATTTTTTTCAATAATATTTTATATGTATACACGATAAACAACTATGGAGTCTCAATTAGCAAGAAGAGATTCATTTATGTATTAATTATTTGAATCTTGATTGATTCTTAAAGATTTTGATGATGTGGCACAAAAGAGGATCTAAGAGAAAAGAAAGGGGGACGGGCGATATGTAGCATGACTTTATAACTGCCGCAGGCATGCATAGGGACACTAGAAATCATGGGCAATGCATTTCAACTAACGTAAGCATAGACGAACTCACTCATTCCCAATCTTGTCAATTTAAGTTGATATGTCCCTAGTCAGGGTCGTGAATACATCAAGCTTTGCTTTAAACTCTAATTTTATTTTAGGCTATTTTTTTATATATTTGATTGTTTTTTACAAGGTACTATTTGAAAAATGACCAACCATTAGTCAATACAAGTGACTTTTTTTAAAAAAAGAATAAAGGGTTTCTAAAATCCAACGATAATTATGTATTAAATTATATCATTGGATAAGTTATACGATCCTATTTGCCTTTCTTATTTTACAGTTCTTTTCTATTTCGCCTTTGTCACTACGATTTGGAAAAATTATTCTGCCTTGTTACTGTTGCTTTTGAATGAGCAACTATCTTGACCAACGAAAAACCAAGAAATGAGGTGATTCAATTATGCATTTTATAAATTTCTAAAGGTCCACTTAAAAAAAGAACACTTAACATTAATAATTCACAAGTTCAAATAATAGTATAATTACTATAACGAAAATTTTTAACCACTAATAAAACAATCCCTTTCTTTTCGAGAAAAAAATGTAACTATTAATTCGCTTTCTTTAAGTATGTCATTTCAATTTGATTTTCACTTTAGCATGTGACAATGCTTGATAGATATTAATCTCTCACTTATTAATCTAAAGGATGATAAGTGACATATGCTTTATGACTTTAAAATGTTAATTTATGTAACGTTTGAATTTATTTATATATATATATATATATATATATTATTTTTATGTCCACTACTATGGTATAATTTTTATGTTATTTTATATTTAAAAATTAATTTCATTTTAAAATTTATTAAATACTTATAATTTAATCAATTAATCTGTCTTCAAATACAGAATCACTATTCTTATTCAATGAAACAAAAATAATGGAATGAATTAAGAATGAGTTTAGGTAAATAATTTAATTAAACGTTTATTTGATGAACTTTTATTATATAATTTGATCTCAAATTTATTAAAATAAATTAAAAAAATTGAAAAAACTCTCCTAAACACATCGTAAATCTAGCTAGTTTAATAGGCTAATAATAGTGTTGGCAATGAGAGACATGGCTTTTTGTTATATTATGGGGACACAGAGGTGTTGGAGACAGAGAGACCGAAGGAGGGGTTGGTTTGGATGATTCGTCTCTAGAATGGTGAGGCACAAAAAAACACAGGCACGATGGTATCTGTGGATGCCTGAGATACTAGTATTTTGGTTGAACAAACCGTTAAGGAGCCTTGTCCCAAGCTGTGCTCCCAGCTATGAAGCAGACAAATTTGAGTTGTCAATTAATTAAGCTATAGATTAAACCCCTAATACTGATGCACAACTTCTTATATATCAAGGGTGAGCATTGATGGACTCTAATCGGCTCTTTGGCTTTTGGTTTACTTACAAAAACGATCATCGTGTAAGTGTCCAAGGACAAGCTTTGTCTGGAAGCAACACTGGCCCTTAATACAACAGAAACCTCGTTTTGGATGATCCTCACTCTCATGTCTTTTAGCTCGAGCATAAGTTAGAACTTAAACTAGAATGCGCTGATTTTAGTTTGATTGGAGTTTATTTTGAACTTGCAATAAGGAAAAAAAACTAACAAATTTCCAACCTCTAAATCTTACTCTTCCAAAGTGGATATGGCCCCTCTTCACTAGTATATAATTTTTAGGCCGGTCGATGATGGACGTTTCCACCCCTCCAAAAGTGCGCTGATTCAAAGCCCATATTCCCTCCCTATAAAACCCACCTCACAACCCCTTCCACAACCCCCTCTCTCTCTCTCTGTTCAACTTTCACGTGTTCCCTAAACCACCCTCTTTTCTTGACAGAGACACAAAAAAGTGAAACTATGTGTCATCTAACTCCCCACCTCACAAGCAAATGCAATTCAAATCCCGAGTATCTAGTTTCAATCGATGACCAAGAGTCAGAGCAACCCAACATGATCACCAGTCCGTTGATCCAAAAAGGCACAACCAAAGCACCACCCCATCTCAGGAGTGCCTTCAAAGAACTCATTTCCATAGCCAAAATAGCTCTTCCCATGATCCTCACCGGCCTCATACTCTATTGCCGTTCAATGATCTCCATGCTCTTCCTTGGCCACCTCGGCGAGCTTGCCTTAGCCGGTGGTTCACTCGCAGTGGGTTTTGCTAACATCACCGGCTACTCAATCCTCTCTGGTCTTGCTGTAGGAATGGAACCCATTTGTGGACAAGCCTTTGGTGCCAAAAAATTCACCCTCCTCGGTCTCTGTTTACAGAGAACCGTTCTTTTGCTTCTCTTCACCTCTGTTCCCATTTCTCTGCTTTGGCTTCACATGAAGCGTATCCTTCTCTTGTGTGGCCAAGACGAAGCCATAGCCGCACAAGCCCAATCCTATCTTCTCTATTCCATCCCTGACCTCTTAGCACAATCCCTTTTACACCCATTGCGAATTTACCTTCGAAGCCAATCCATTACTCTGCCTCTTACTCTCTGTGCCACCTTGTCAATTTTTCTTCACATACCCATCAATTTTCTTCTCGTTTCTCACCTTAATTTGGGGATCAAAGGCGTGGCTTTGAGCGGGGTCTGGACTAACTTCAACCTCGTGGCCTCTTTGGTTCTTTACATAGTCTTCTCTGGCACACACAAGAAAACATGGGGAGGTTTCTCTTTTGAATGCTTCACACAGTGGAAATCACTTCTCAACTTGGCCATTCCAAGCTGCATTTCAGTGTGTCTGGAATGGTGGTGGTATGAGCTCATGATTTTGCTATGTGGGTTGTTGATAAATCCAAAAGCAACGGTGGCTTCCATGGGGATTTTGATCCAAACAACCTCTTTGCTCTACATTTTGCCATCATCAATAAGCTTCAGTGTGTCCACTAGAGTGGGGAACAAACTAGGCGCACAAAAGCCATCAAAAGCGAGGGTCTCTGCTATCGTGGGCCTCTCTTGCAGCTTCATGTTGGGTGTCTCAGCTTTGGTTTTTGCTGTGATGGTTAGAAACATATGGGCCAGCATGTTCACGCAGGACAAAGAGATCATAACCCTGACATCATTGGTGTTGCCGATAATAGGGCTTTGTGAACTAGGAAACTGTCCTCAGACAACGGGGTGTGGGGTGCTAAGAGGCACTGCAAGGCCTAAAGTTGGAGCGAACATCAACTTAGGTTGTTTCTACCTTGTTGGAATGCCTGTGGCTATTTGGCTTGCTTTCTTTGCTGGCTTTGACTTTCAAGGCCTTTGGCTTGGCTTACTTGCAGCTCAGGGTTCTTGTGCTGTTACCATGTTGATTGTTTTGAGTCAAACTGATTGGGAGGCTGAGGCTCTAAGAGCCAAGCAACTAACCACAACCACTGTTGTTGATGACAGCAAAGAGGTTTGTGCCGAGAAGCCACCCAAAGCTGAAATCAAGGAAGATTCTTTATCATTAGCTCATTCGGATCAAGATAAACAATCCTGGGTTTAACTTTTTCTTTTTTGACCAAAAGAAAAAAAATAACGGGGGGAAGAGAGAGAGAGAGATCTATTAGGAATTTGTCTTTAGCTGTATAGGGAAGGAGAGCTTGGTGACAGAGGATGACTTTTTAGGTCTTAATATAATTTTAGATCCAAGGGTGGATCGAGGGATTTAATTTAACTAAAATTATGTTACTTATGTGTAAAAAGGTTTTCACGTAATTATCATCATTACCAGTTTTGTTCTCTTTCTAATTTCTATTCACCAATATATCAAATCATTCACAATCGTCTATTTCGGTTAATTAACTTGCACGTTATATACAACTAATATTACTTATTTAACCCATGCCGTTTCCAACATGTTTTGTCGTCTTTCCTGTTTTTATGCCCGCCTTCTGATAAAAGAATGCACTATACAGCTACGAGTAGATAATAGTGTTATCCTCTTCTCATGTTAATTTTCGTCAAATTATAAAAAGTATATTATTTGTTTAAGATTTATTAATTTTCTTTTTACATTTTTTTACAACATAACATCTGTCATGAGCATGAAAGAAGATAAATCTATATATATTTATATTTTGTACAAAAAAAGAGAGGGCATGCCCAACTAAACTAGCATTCTCCAAAAGAAAGATACACTAGCACAATCGTCGCTCAACAAGTTCCAATAGCCTCATGAGGAGGGTGATATCATATGTCAGTCTGTCACTCGGTTAGTACTGAAACTCTTTAAATAAAGTCTTAGGTTTGGATTTAAGTGTAAAAGAAATTTTTATCGAGAGAATTTACTCTACTATGTTATGAATATCTTTTACTTGAATAGAATACTAAAAGTCTAAAAAAACTATACACGTTTAACCAAATTTACCTACTTTGTTTAGTTTTTTTATTTAGCAAATTACAACAATAAAAAACCAAAAATATAAGAAAAACCATTTAAAGTTAAACCAGATGTATTTCACTCCAGACAATAAGACTTTATAGTACAAAAATTGACTTGGGATTGTCCCCCTCCCCCCTTTTTTTAATTTCATGAAAAAAGCACAGCTGCTGCTCATTGTACATGTTCAGCAGCGACGAAATCTATCTTAATTACATCCTTGTAAGCTAAGCTAATGTGCAAATGCATTATCTATTTATTCGTAGCACTGGCAGCCACCTATTTTGGGCATGAATTACTCATTATTACAATTTTGTGCGTCACAGGACATAAAACAATAATCCGCTGGCACTCACTATTTTTTCACCTTCCAATTTCTAGTTTAATTCTGCTAAACTAAAATCCTTGGTCAGATCGTCACAATGCCATGGAATTTAAGGCCATTCCCAATTGGCGAGTCATATTGGGCAAGAGACCCGAGTAATAGAAATTATTATGAAATATGAATAATTTCTGATTTGGCACTGTACCCACAATTATCTCATCCGCCGAATCTAGCTTGCCAAAAATGAGACGGGGATCTCAGCAAAACCGTTTAGATTTCATGATCACTCATGGGGTAGAGAGTTTGACCAATTGATATAACAATTTTCTATTTGTTCAAGGCTCACATTAAGGACAAGGATATGAAAATCACATTAAATGAAGTACTATATGAAAATATGTGTTTCAATGCTGAAGGGATAAAATTTTGTCGCCAAGTTAGCAATCCAAGTAGTAGCTTTGTAGCGTTAGAGATTGTTTTTGGAGTATAAAATGGTTAGAACCTCAAATTCAAATCAACCACATGGGTAGGTCAGCAACAAGCAGAGTATTCAAAGCACAAAATTGGGTTGCCATTTTCCGGATGCTGGCTGGTAAAGTGATCTATGATGATTTAATTTGGTTTCTCTCCTCCCTCTATGCCATGGTTAATGTGCCTTTTGTGTGCTGGGTTGATCTAATATTGACACCGTGTCCTGCTTTTGATGGAGATGAGCAGAGAAAATTATGCAGTTTCTGAGTGATGATACAAAAGAGTGCAAGCTGTAGCTCAAGTTGCAATTTGATTTAACGGGGTCAAATAGATTCTGAAAAATGATTCAGCTTAATCAGTTCTAAGACGTGTGAAGAAAACAAGATTTTCTCCTCAATTCTTAGCTTTGTTGCTTCCATTATATATATTAATTGATTGACAGTAATAAGGAAGACTAATTTTTATTTTGGGTGGGATATATAAATATACTTATATATATAGAGTCTTGGAATATTGGAATCAAAGTTTAACCTTCTTTTCTTTGTTAATTTATCAAAAAGATAATGAAGTCGATTTGAAATATAGGATGAGACGTTATACTAATTATTCCTTTTCCAAAGAGCTTATGCGAAAGGATAAGACTATGCTTTCAATACATTACATATTTAGATGGTCAAGAATAAAAGTTTAGAAGAGTAATTTGTGAATAATATTCTAGGAATTGGTTAGGGATTAAGTTTGGTCAGTGTTAGTGGTTACTGGACCAAGAACATGGGCGATGAGAACAACAGTCACTATAACCTGGTTTTGTCATTTCCATTTTATATGGACTTGGTCCGGCATCAAACGACAGCACTAATCGATTTATCAGAATTTTAATAAGTATCATATAAGATTGATAAGGTATTGAGGTGAACATCTCAGGATGAGGATATCAAACTTCATAACTGGAAAGCAAAGTTCTCAAATTACACGCAAAATATAAAAAATGGAGACCCTCCATATTAGGATGATTAAGAAACAAGTATAAATATTTTATAGGTTGACCTCTTTTTTTATGATAATTAAATCATATTTAAATGACTAATGTTAAAATATATAGATTTAAATATATTTTTAATTCATATAATTTTGCGCAATTTTAATTTTAACTTTTAAATTTTATTTCCAATCTTAGCCACTAATTTTACTAAATTTAATATTTTTAATTTCTAACGATGACATAATGCAATAAAAAATTAAGACTCGGTATACAAATTAATGTTTGACAATTTCTCAACATGTGTTTATATTTACGTTGACATGAATTCAAACGTGTTATTAGTTAGCCATCCATTACAAGGAATTAAAATTATTAAATTTTAAATATAACAAAACAAAACAAATTAAAAATTAAAATCAAAACTACATTAAAATATACCTCCATATGCGCGCGCGCGCATATATATATATAAACGACAAAGAGAAATTCTATCAAATGATTGCTTAAAATTGGAATGGTTGAAACTTTACAAATTGACTTTTTGATTATTTGTTTATACTTTATAGTACACATCACGTTAGTCATATGGCATGCTCGTATTGTGTTCTTCTTTTAGGATATGTTTATGTCAAAATTAAAGAGGAAGTCGATTATATGAACTACACATCATTAAATTCAATGAAAAATGAATGTTGTTAAGGTCTTATTTATCGTTAAATTTTATAATTTGTAAAATTTTTCTTAATCTCATTGAACTTTTACAAAGAAAAAAATATTTAAATATTTATTTTAAAATATTTTTTTAAATATTATGTGCTGACTAATACGAAGGTCTATTACATATATAATATTGAGTTAAAACTTTATTATTTGATCCAATACTTAACATAAGAAAGTAATTGGCAAAGGACTAAGTGCAAACATGATAACTTTCATACGAAACAATTTTTAGAAAAAAACTTATAAAGATATAAAAGTATTAAAATTTTGTTCGTTAGGAAGAAAAATACGGCAATATAAGAACAAAATGTTTCAACATTTAAATAATGCTTATAAAAAGTGAACAATATCAAAGGATAATATGATGATCACGACATCCGCTATGATTAATTTGGCACAACGAAGAAATGGTAGTGAAGAGTTTGACTTTTTTGCCTTATAACATTACATACATAGAGTATGCATGAAATATAAATTTTTGACATTTAGAGGGTGACGATTAATTTACCATTCAGAATAGTATTTAGGTATCAAACTTGTAGGATGTTTGTAAATCTAATTATTAAATTATTTTATATTATTTTTATGATTATGTATATTAAACTTAATATAATTTAAATACTCAAAAATATGTTATTTAAAATTTGATATTTTTTATATTTTAAAAATATATTATACATTAATATAAAATAATAGATTTATAGTTCATATGGTCTATTTCTAATGAAAATCATTTTTTAGTGTTATCATGAATAACAGGACGGCTTTTGAAATTTTCAAAAGTAGCCCAATTGTTATGCATGGATATCAAGTTTTGACATTTTCAACTAATATCAATGAGGAACACAAATCCGTATGGGATGGTTGCAAAGTCACGGGTGCAAACCGACAAAGCTCACTAACGTCCATATAACAAAAGATTTCTACGAATGCCAAAGTATTTCCTAGAAAAACATCTTCTGCGGCTATTTCACGGCCAATAACCACCATAAACTATTATTAGAAATATCCTACACTGGAGAAGCTATCTCGACTACCTCGTATGCATCAAGTTTGTTGAGAAATAATTGAATATTGTTAAGTTTGTCATAGAATATAACATACTTCTCTAATACGTGAACAAATTAATTCCAAACAAAATAATACATATCAACGGAGAATTAGTTTAAATGCTATAATTTTTTTATTACATGCCTACACATAAATAAATAAATAAGTAAATGTTCCTTGCTCAGAAAGATCACTTTTCATGTGAAAGATAAATGTGATCCTGATGACCAGAAAAACAGGGTGATATATATATATATATATATATATATATATATATATATATATATAGATCATTGGACTTAATTAATTAAATTAATTAATAAACATATTATCTAAATATATTATAATAACATATTAATATAACAATGATAATGGAATAGCAATAATATTATTATTTAAATATATAAATTTGTTAGACCTAAGAAGTATATTGTATGACCGAAATTTTGACCTTCGGAGTAAATAATGTTTTTTTTCTAAATATTTAATAAGTAATACCAACTTAATTTTAACCTCATGTGCGTTAAACCATAGCATTTGATAAATGAGGTAACCCTTATTATTATCCTTATCCGTATATAAT